AGTCTCCTAAGGCCTTAGTAGTCTACACTCAAAGGCTATTTTACATCACCTTTAAGCTCCACGGCATGTCGTGGTAGAGACAGAAAAGCTCCTTGTATTTGCCTTCGCAAATCTGCTTACGTTCAATTAGTATAATATTGAAAACAAGACTGAGAGAATAGGTTTTATCTTCTTCGATGCCAGTTCGGTTGCATTTCATAACAGTAGCAACAGGAACGACAGATACATGGAAGTCGATAACAAGAACCTTCGCAGTGTCATCAGCTCAGAATAGTCTCGAAAATACAATTACAGGAGAACTACATTGAACTTTGCATACGATAGATGGCCAATGATATTTACGCGATTTCTAGCCTTTGTCATTGCGATTATACGTATGCATACAAGCATAGGACGCGTCACGAGAACAATCGAATACTTCTCAAGATCGAATGCTGCGGCACATAACGCACGGCGTGATGTCGAATCATGCGTACATACATCGATTGCTAAATAGGATGAAAAGAAAAGCTTGCCTTGGCGGCTTTTGCGTGCATAATGCCTTTTTCGCTATACGATAACAAAAACTACTACTCGTTACTAGACAAGATTTTTGTTGTCAAACGAGGCACCCATCATTAGCATACACGAGTGCTCGCCTCCATATATGAAGCTGTCAGATGGTCATACAGGTTTGTCCTCGGAGGGGTTACGCTAGGGTTTGAGGTTGGAAAAAATAAGGTCATACGCCCTTTATTACATGCGTAAGGGATTTTTGAACAAGAACCGATTTTCCTTCTCTATTTAAAGTTCATTATTTGGAATGAGCTTCTCTAAGACGAACAGGCCAGTGTTTACCTTTCCTCAATCTAAGGCATTAAGCTTATCGTTTGTAACTTTCCAGGTTGTGGCAGGCTCATTTAGTTATTAAAACACTTATTGTTGCTTTTTTGGCCATCGGCTATCATCGGTGTACAGAAAATATGCTTGTAAATACGCAAGTACAAATAATTTTGGCGCCTGTTAGTTTATACTGCACACTGTCAATAGAGTTTGAGTGATTTGAGTCGGCGCTGCGGTGTTATGCTGGAAGCCTCTGATGTACTCAATGTATACAATAAGGACGTTTAGCGCTTAAACACTTCATCGATTAGGTAACGTGATTATTTGAATATAAGGTGGTCAATTCATATTCAGGAAACTATAGTATCTGAGCATGAGCTGAGGCGATGAGAAGCAGGTTCGTCTTTACGTCGCCAGGGCAGAGTACATGTGTTAAAAGGGAAGCAGAAGCATGTCCAGAGCGTGCCGCTTATCCCGAGCAGAAATGCATCCAAATTTGCATTATATTTTCTATGAAAACTTAACGATATTTCATGCGTATTTCAAAAGGACTATTAAGATAATTATTAAAACGTCAAAAGCAAACAAATATAAATGTAAAAATTATTTTTTGCCTTTCGGCTTTTGAGGCTCCAGTCCTTCCAAGATAAACTTATTGGAAGAAGCTGCTCACCGGATTGTGTCAACTACATGAGACAAACGTATGAGTTAATTTCTACTGCAACAACTTGTATTAGATATGTTAAGAGGTAATGAAATTGCTGCATCAAGTCTTCTAGGTTGAGACTCTTCTGGTTTCAACTGGGTTCGAAATGTTATAAAAGACATTTTTTGTGCTTTAGATGTGTTCAAATGAGCTATATATACATAAATTTAAAAAAAAACGCACCGTAAATAATTGACCCCTATTCCACTGACCTTTGGTTACTTAACATTTGATGTACAAATATATTCGTATTCACGTAGCATGACTATTGCATGAAGTAAAGCTTAATCAGTGCAAACGTATCCTTATTCTTCTTTACGATATCGTGTGTGCTGATGCCTTAGTAGGGTCTTTGTCGGAGACAAAAGCTCTCTGCTAAGGACAACCCTAACATCTAAATAGGTAGGTGGGGTTTAGATGGACGGATCCGTAAATCGCCATTGATTTGAGCTGTGCTTGCTGCTGTCGCTGTCAGGCTTCCTCTGAATCGTCGACATTTGTAATCTAATTTGATTCAGCCTGCACTTCAATCTTATACATGATCGATCTAGTTTGGCGTTGATAAAATTGCCGCCCCGCTCATTCCCGCTGCGGCCGTTCCCTGTGGTGAAACCAATTTGAACGACAATATTACTATCGTTTAATTGGTACAAAATTCAAGCATATTTTCATGCGACCCGGTAAGTGACCTAGGCCAAACGTCGATGAGTAGAACATTTGAGTGGAGGTAACGAGATGTCTGGAGTCGCCGAGGGAGGGACTGATGGTCCACAACTTAAGGGTCAGCCCAAAAGGACAGTGACATTTTGGAGTTGGAGGGAGAGTAGAAATCGCTAAACGAGTGTGGGAAGGACATAGGGCCTGGAAACTACTGACGACGAACGTACGCAGAGGGGTAGAAGAGAATAGCGGCACGAATGTCCAAATCGGCAGCAACGATTGCAAAAATAACGAGTCTGAATTTCGGCGCCTTCGGCAGCTCCCACAGTGTTTCTTGTCTTTTTGAAATGTCTAATTCCATATTTAGATCGAGTGGTACCTGTAGTCCTACGCCCAGTCAAACTTACCCGCAGTCCTTTCGTCACTTATCGCTGCGTCAACTGCTTCTTACCGATCTACCACAAATCAACACAGTATATAAAGACAAAGGGGAGTAAGAGGTCAAGGCATAGACGGGGGGGGGTCATTTTGAATCTCCGTACGGAAACAACATTCGATAAGCTCTTGGTAAAACTGTGGCGACATGCCGTTGTCTTGATTTAGCTTTGGCCGCTTCGCTCTGCGAACACGCTGATCAAACCCTTTATCTGTGCTGGCAAATATTTACGGGGCATCGCTAGTCCAAAGGGATAAACGATAGTTCGAATCTGCCAAATAATGCTCGAGAAGGTGACTAGGTTTAGGTAGGTTGGCCAGGCGCACGAGATCGGGTCTTGGTGATTATGGTAGTCACCGTTGGACTTTAGTCTTAGGCAGGCATGGCTGAAAGAAGAAACGGGCTCCATCATTCTGTAGGTGAGGAAGACGTGAGACAAAAAAAATGAATTACCCTATTTAACAAATGTAGCCCGTCTGGATATTGCTCCGTCATCAGATGAGATTGTTATTTTGATAATGCTCCGCTAACTGTCACTACTGAGAAATACTATAGAGACATTTTGTTGGCCTTTGTTATTAGAAAAATGAGGAAATCATTAATTATTGTTTTAATAACAGGTAACAGGTTTTTCATGTTTTACCCAAGATGGGGTCGTTAATTAATCATTTAATTATCAGGTCTGTATATATATATATATATATATATATATATATACACATACATACATATTTCAATTTAGCAATCTTAGCGTACGAATCATGGAAGAATAGCCGCTAGTTAAAACTGGCAGATCACTGCCTATCGCATTGCGAATGCCTGTGTGAGGAAACTTTTTCTGGCCCTATATCTCTGTCATCTATCCTGCCCATATTTATTATGTCTGTTAAATACTCTTTTCATATACTACGTTATTACCAATGAACATCCGCTAACAAACCCTATCGAAAATTGTCAGTAAGACAACTAGTAAGATATGTTTCTGGATATGCCTGAAAAATATCCTCATACACTGACCATCACATAACGACGAGAGACATACGGAACGCCGTTACATAGGCTTTCGTTGGCATACGATCCAGATTACTGTAGCTTTGCTTTTTTAATGTACCGTAAATCACTCCCGTTATAAAGCGAGCTATAATTATCATATATTGAAATCATAATTTTGTATAGCAAAACGTAGCTAATAATAATTGTTGATAGGATAACGACGATCATCAATAGTTCTTAGAAATACGCCCTATTTTAGCCTATGCCCCATAAGTTTTGGAAGTCAGATTCAAAAATTGTTGTTGCACCTGTACATTAATAACATCTGCATATATATTTTTTAAAAGTATCATACACGTAAAGGGTGCCCCATGTTTCCCTAGAGATAGAAGGAAAAGCTGTAACGTGGCATAAAAGCTAGTTTTTTTTTTATTCTAGCTAGGCCTGTGATCGATTTTGCCACGACAAGAGGCTACTAGAAACGTTTTCCGGTGTCTTGTACCAGTGCATATAGTGATATATTAGGAAAAATGTACTATTTATATCATAGCGCATTTAACATCTTTGAATAAAGGTTTTAATTAAATCGGTTACAAGCTGAAAAAATATACTGCTTGAAGAGAAAATATTATCTGTCTACACTGCTGCTGCACGCGGTTCGATGACGCAGTCGAACAAATCTTTCTTGCGATATGGAAAATAAAAGCAAGCAGACGACAATTGATTGGAGCATGTATATTAGTTCTAAACAGACCATCGTAGCGAGGTTTGTTTACTTAATTAAACCATCAGCTTTAAATGCAATCACACATACGCATTTCTACCAGACCTTTCTTTGGTCCCTTTAAACTGGTTCAATGGTTAAATCGAGCCTTTAAGAACGACTACTAATGCCATTATTCTCACAGTCCCGCATCTTTTATTGTCGACAACGTTTTGCGTTTCGCTCGTTCGTAATAGATTTTTTTCGTAAAAAGGATCGATGGCTTAAAAACAGCGTTGACGACTCGATTTATCGTGCCCTATCCTATGCAAGAAGCGCCTCAGGACTAGATGCAACATACTAACCAAAGTATGATTCAAAGGTTTCATTTAGATTTTTGACGATGACGAACTACTCAAGTGGCTGTCGGACAAAAATAGTGCGAATATGATTGCGAAAGACGTGTGTCAAATGACGTGCTCCAGCAGACGTGCTCTTCTTTAAGATTATTTTAAATGAATAGAAATAATGGAGGAACGGAGGGAGAGGTAAGGGGGAATCGCTGCCGTGCTCATCGGCGCACGTTCGAGGCGTACGCTCACACGTTTCGCCTTCGTCCCAGCTAACTCCAGGCTAGTGGACTCAACTAGATAGAAATTCTCAATATGAAGTTTACTCACCGAGAGTGAAAGTCTAGAAAAACTCGTTGGCGATAATGGATCTCAGCGATATTGCAGTATTTTGTTCAGCTGTTATTCAGTGCATGTAGATCTGCTACTCAAGGATTTGCATCGTGCACCCGTCTGATCCGTCGAAAGAGATCTTCATTTCTCGAAGACAAAAAATTTTTCAGATATCAAGTCTCATTCCAACGTCGTATCTCTTCTGCTGCTGCTGCTGCAAGGACAACGATGTATTCAAATTGCATGGTGGACAATAGCTTCAGACAACGTTTGTTGCGGAAAATTCTTTTCGTTTACTCCTATTGAATATCTAGCTACGGATACACTATCTAGCTAAAGAAGAGCTTTTCCTGATTGGCGAACGAAAAGGTTGCTTACCTTCATATATATATGTCTGTGCATATAGTCGAAAAATATTATTCAAAATTAGAACTTCTCAAGCGTTCTACGTTGTGTTGAAAGGCTTGTCCCATATCCGTCGAAGAGTCGACGGGATCAACTCACTTCGTAGTAGAAGAAAAACTGTGAACAAATGTCTATTATGATGAAATTTAATCATCAGTATGCGTGCATTTGTGTGTACGTGAAAATTGATTCCCGTCCAAAGAAACTGATCACCGTCCCATAAGCAGTTGCCACTAAATGCTGTGCACGTTGTCCGGCCATGAAACTCGAACAAGGCCAGCCGACGGAATAAGAAAAGACTCTGGCTAACTCCATCAAGATCCTGGAGTGAGATCGCAGTTTTAGGGCGCGATAACCGCTTTACAACGCTCAACGTGGAGTAATTTTTAAGAAAAACTAACGTGATATTTGCTTGCTTAGCCAGCAACAGCCCGACCATGTAAAGGGAGCGGCGAGAGTCAAAGCGAGCTCTTTCGTTCGCGATTACTTCGCTCTTCACTGGCTGAAAGAAAGAGCAAACAGAGAGTGCAATAGAATTTTTCAACGACGTGAAACAAAAACTGCTGAGAACCTTGATATTGACGGGAACACTGCCGTTGAGCTGAGTTTTTCGAAATATTCCCGAAAACGTTCGTTAAGATAAATCCGTCGAGGATAGAACAGATAACGACGTATGAAAAGTCAACGCAGAGTGATAAAGACATGGGGAGATTAGTCAAGATGAGATCATGGACAAAGATCATCACTGTATCGTTTAGTAGCTTGATTTGATTCATTATTCGGATCAAAACAGAAAATGACACGGGGCAATATCTGAATGAACACACGCAACCGCTTGTAATGAAAAGTATCTTGCAGATAAGACAAATAACACAGTTATTTAGCAGATATTGACATGAAATTCCTATGTAAAACCAAGCGCACATCAGAGTGACCGCCGGACGAGGGGCAACGCTGCACGAGCAAATCACCCAATGTAAGGCCTGCAACGTTATAGAAGAAGTAAATATAACAAAATAGGTACTCTAATAAATGAATTCGGCTGACTTCGTGTTAACTTGAAAATGAATTGGTGAGTAGAAGAATCTGACGCATCAAACCCTTAACGTGTGTAACTTGCCGAGCTAGCTTTTAGGTTTACCTGATCTCGAGTAAATGTTTCTGTTTGGTTTTTTTCGTGTCAACTGAATATTCTTTAACATCCTCGATTATTTAACGAATTCCTCTCCTCAATTCGGTGCAGCTTAAGCAGACATTCGAACTTGCAAAGTGCTCTCGAACCTTCTGCGAGCTGTGACCGACCTTTTCTAGAAAAACGAAAACTTATGCTAGAAACGTCCGAATTTCCATTAAAAGATGTAAGGCCAGCTTATGTAGGCTCATGTGTTACAGTCTCCAAAAGCTTAGAAAAAAAAAACGAAAAGTCTCTGAAACTTTTGCCTAGGGCAGATGTTGAAAGGAGCGCCAGGCACTTACGCGTGCTAGTCGTCCATAGTAATGTAGTTCCTCATTCCGCAACTACCAAATCATTTTGAAATCTTACCTAGTGAATACTAATCGAAATTGATTTTGTTTAGTATGTATCTACATTAACTATTTAATCTCGAGCTTGGATAACCTAGTATTAAACGCACATAAATTAGATCTTGATAAAATCATCTGATAAAATTATGTTTGGGTTTTTTTCCAACAACTTACAATCGAACTACCAATTTGACGCATAACTTTTATTATTCACTCCTCAATCTAGACTGTCAAATGTGCCAGGTAAGCAATCGGCTATTGTTTTTGCGAGTTCGATAGTAGCGATGACACGTAAAAGCCCTGCTCTACTTGGTGGTTTCAGTCTAATAAACAGCCAGTGGTACCATTGACGCAGAATCTTACGCTATGGTAGTCAAAGTCGGTAATGATAACTTAATTGGGACTTTACCTAGGTGTACGGACCTACTTTTTCGGCTGTACTAGCATTAAAATGAGGTAAATATCACAGAAACTTAAGAGGCCACTACTAGGTGTCGTATGTACAAGATTACCAATCAATGCAAAATGAACGAAGTAATCTATCTACATAAGTGTTTCTACTTCACGCTGTCTACCTAATAATATTTGAATTAAGGCTCAACTATATGACACGACGCCATTAATGTGCAGAGCTTTGCAGACTGTGCGCAGGTATTCATCACAAGGCACGTATAATGTACCGATTGGTTGAAGCATGGCCAGTCATGATTGCCAATCTCTGTAATAAGTAATTCATTCGCATAACAGCTGACATTATTTTCATATTCAGGAGACCATTAAAGTGAATTATATAACAACTAAACACGGACCGTCTACTGGAAACGTAGCAACTATGGAGGTTTGTTGAGTATCATAGTACTTTTCAATTGCAACCGCGGCAAGAAAACATCAAAAACATAAAAAGCTTTCTTCCGTAAAACAAATGTTTAAGCAACAATCGTTTTCCACAAAATATTCGTGCTCACATGGTTAATTAAATATGACAAACTAAAGGTTTTGAAAAAAGACGGTCAAACAGTGCGTTGTATTAGCGCAAGTACATCTTTTCATTGCTTCTCAGCCTCGTCCATGTGGCAGCAAAACTTCGAAAGAGGTAAATGCTATGGAGAGGTTAAGCCAATATGGCCGTAAAAGAACGGTCTGGACGATACACTTTTACAATGCAAAGTACGCAGGGATACAGGTCTGTAATCTGACATCCGCCCTTCAGCGTCAAACAACTGACAGCTTCATCTCGTGGCTTTCGTCAAAGCAGTCACGCATATAGTGACAGCTTTTGTCACTGAGACAACGATCACCGTTCATTCCACGGGAATGAACCATACGGGAAAATCTCAACGTAAATAGGGTGTTGACGATGCTTAAAGACCTACTTTCTAAGATGCACCTATATGTGCACACGAAACTTTGTTGCCTTAAAGAGAATACGTCCAAGAACAGGCTATATTTACTGAACTAAAGTATTGCAGAGGAAATTTTTGCCGAAACGTTTTGAGGCATTAGAGTGTGAGGAACGTTTTGAGATGTGAAACCTCCACCATTTTGGCTATATCGTTATATTTATTTAGGCTTAGTGCGGTGAACCATACATTGAATACAGTTAAAGTGGAACAACCCCAGTTGACTCATTGCATTAGGTACCCCACAGTGGAGGCTTAGCGGTAGGCAAGAAGCAAATGTAAACGCGGCCGTGAGAAAGGAGGCTTTAAACAGGATTAAATTTTTGTAGATTTCATCTTTAAAAGCTAGTGGAGTTCCATGCACAAAAGGAAATCAACGCTGAATGTGAGGGACAGACGAGAGATGCCGGTGCCTAAGCACCCTTAAGGGATTTTTACGCGCCAGCGAAGGAACGCGCTCGTTGTATTGTTTGGCCTACAAAATAGATCGCATATAGAGGCGATGTTCGTACGATGTCAAAGGAACGATAGCAGCTCGAAGAAACCAGTAACTAATGAAGTCGGGGTCACCAAAGGGCTTTAACAGCCTGAAATGGAAGCGGCTGGCCTGAAATCGAAATTTTTTAGCGAAAGCTGTTTACAACAAGCAGCAACGCAATCAACAGAGCTAGCCGCGGGAAAGCTTCCCGAAATCATTGAATAGTCACTGGCGAACAATGGAAAATCGTTTTGATAAAGGCTTTTCTGAAGTTTAAGCCTCGCTGTTTCTTGCAAACCTACTACTGGAAAATAAAAATTTTGACCGGAAATTAGCTCCACCGACGTTACGACGCAACCGTTGAAGTTCGTTTGTTGTGCGAATCATCATTGCAACCCACTTGGCAATAAAACAATATTAAAGCTCTTATTATGATTAGAGGAGCCATAGGTCATTCTTAATCTGTAGGTATTCCTTAGTTATTCTTCCACCGGCTTACTCGTCAGCTGTTAGGGTTGATTAGTAGAAGAGAGGACCAACACAGACGTAAGTGCAAACGAGTATGTTGGTAATCACAACTTCATATGACCTAATATAAATATATATGCTATAACATATAAATATCCGAGTAAGCCTATCTTATTTTTACGTTGCGTAACTATATTTATTTAAGTAATGACTATAATTAATTAACTAAGTAAGTCGATGTACTGGCTCGAACGCCTGAATCTATAGCTCACTCGTTCAAGTTCGGCCAATGACTTATACTGTACAACCAATGTACTTGAATAGAAAAGCAATAATAATTGTAATCCTCAAACAGCTATCAAGATATTGAATAATAACTTAAGCTGCTCTTTTATATTGGCGAAATAAGTTTATCGTTGTCTTAACTCGCGTTTCGGCATGACTTGTAGGAGTTACGCCATTACGAACGTTGAAGGAGCTTTTGATCAAATCCATCTCACGGTTTTTGAGCAATCCTTTTCCATTGTGCTATTGGCCACCGCTTTGTTAACACAACAATGAGTTTGTACGTGCTGTGATTTGGCATTGAACAAAGTGTATCGCTACAGAAAAACAATTGAAAATAGCATAATTGAACTGGTTACTCATCTTTTAATCGGTAACTTTCCCGCATAGCAATTTAGCCGGGTCAACATTTAGGTGACGCGTTAGTGGCTGCGGGGCATCATCCATAACCCTCCGTCCGCTGTCAACGTGGCCGATTTGCCCTCATTACAATCCCGCGACGTTTGCCGCGCATAGATATTGCTAATGAGATGGCAACTAAAGATAAATGTGAGTAACATTATCACGAAGGAGATAACAGAAAGTATAGGGCTAGACGCTAGTCGTAGCGACAATTATTATCGAAAATATAGCTAAAGGGTATGCGCCTATGAT